AGACGCGGAAATGATTGAATCGATAGAAAATTTGGAAGATACTAAAGACCATTCTACAAAAGAATGGGTTAGTATGCTTGGACCACGAACAGAAATCGCCAATCGCTTTCAGTCTTTTTTGCGCACCTTTGTTGATGAACGTGGTATGTACACATACCGGGACCGTATTCAACGCATGTGCGAACAGAATAAATCTTCATTTGTTGTATTTAAAATCTCAATTAGCTGACGCGAGAACCCACAACGCGGCGCATTACGATCGCCCTTCATAAATATCATCAGATCAGCTTTATTGATAAGCGCCTTCAAGCGATCTTCCAACGATTCACCGGCTACGGAGCCGCCAATTTTTTTTTTTTTTTTACACTTGGCAGTGATATCAGCTACATTAACACCATCTACGCGATCCACGGCTGTGCCTTTAGTGAAGAAAATAATGGTGGGCACTGCTTCAATCTGGTGCTTCATAGATATCTCCGGAAAGTTCTCGGCCACTATGCTAGCAAACTGTAATTTTGCGCTCAAAATCTTGGCAAGCTCCTCGAGCGCTTCTTGCACATGCTTACACTGTTCAGCCCAATCGGCGGTAAAGAGCACCACTGTGGTTTTTTCGGCATTGATCAACGCATTATATTCATCGGCGCTTTTAACTGAAATCACTGAAGGGCTAGTAGTCATGTTTATGAATAATGGCAATAACTTGCTTAATAAAAACTTCACGCTGTAAATTTATACGACAGGATCGGAGGGAAGACGCAAGGTTTGCATCCAGCGAGGTTTTTGGGTTAAAAACCAGTTGCCAATTTTATTTATATGTGTGTATGAAGGTCGGTGAGTCATGCGCTTTCAAATTTAGCCTTTTAGTGCAGTCTCTAGTTCGTTATTAGCTTTTAGTTCTTTGATTATATCCAATCCACCTATTAGCTCTCCTTTAGCATACACTTGTGGATATGTAGGCCAATCGGAGTATGTCTTTAAACCTTGGCGAACTTCTTCGTCATTCAGTATATCGAAAGTCTCATAAGGAATATTTGTTGCATCCTACACGGATTTGGCAAATAAAGAGCATGTACTTGCGTACTTCCTACCTGAAGCACCTTTTCAAATGCTAGAAATCTTCGACAAGGTGGCTAAAGACATGGTCTTATCAATATTTCCAACATATGAACGTGTTACAACAGAAATTCATGTTCGTATATCAGAATTGCCTCTTATAGAAGAGTTACGGACTTTCCGGAAACTCCATCTGAACCAGCTGGTGCGTACTTTGGGCGTGGTAACAGCCACAACGGGTGTGTTAACTCAACTTTCAGTCATCAAATACGATTGTGTGAAGTGTGGCTACGTTTTGGGGCCCTTTGTACAGTCACAGAATACAGAAGTTAAACCTGGCTCCTGTCCTGAGTGTCAAAGTGCCGGCCCTTTTTCGATTAATATGGAACAAACATTATATCGGAATTACCAGAAGATTACCTTACAGGAATCTCCTGGTCGCATTCCCGCTGGTCGGACTCCGCGTAGTAAGGACGTAATTCTTTTAGCGGATCTTTGTGACTTATGCAAGCCGGGTGATGAGTTAGAAGTTACTGGTATTTACACAAACAACTCTGATGGTTCGCTAAACACTGAGCAAGGGTTTCCGGTTTTCGTCACCGTCATTATTGCGAATCATATCGTTGTGAAGGACAGCAAACAAGTAGTACAATCGCTTACGGACGAAGACATCGCTACCATTCAGAAGTTGAGTAAAGATCCTCGGATTGCAGAAAGAATAATAGCTTCAATGGCCCCATCCATATATGGCCACGACTATATTAAACGCGCACTTGCGCTGGCTCTATTTGGTGGAGAGTCTAAAAACCCCGGTGATAAACACAAAGTTAGAGGCGACATAAACTTACTTATATGCGGCGACCCAGGAACGGCAAAATCTCAGTTTCTTAAGTACACGGAAAAAATAGCGCCACGTGCAGTTTTCACGACCGGACAAGGGGCCAGTGCTGTAGGCGTGACTGCCTATGTTCGTCGAAATCCAATATCGCGTGAATGGACTTTGGAGGCAGGCGCCCTGGTACTGGCGGATCAAGGTGTATGTCTTATTGATGAGTTTGACAAAATGAACGATCAGGATCGAACTTCCATTCACGAGGCCATGGAGCAGCAATCGATTTCCATATCAAAAGCTGGTATTGTGACGTCTCTACAAGCACGATGTACTGTTATTGCAGCTTCTAATCCGATCGGCGGCAAATAACACCAACATCGAGGGACTTAATCGAAGTAAGTACCCGATTAATTTGCTGGCTTTTCTGGGTAAACAGATTTTCCCAAATTGCTGCCTTTTCATTGATTGACTAAGCAACGCCATAGTGAGTTATTCAATACCTACTTTTTGTTGTTAACCGTTTATTCGAGGCCTAATTGGTTTGTGTTTTTTATCAGGGATTGCCGGCATAACGACATGCTGCGTATCGTGCGATTACAAACAACAAAACACAAACAAAAAGAAGCTGATTGTCACCGAACCGAACCCTTTTGGAGCCGAAGATATGTGAGTTTTTAAATATTTTTTTTGTATTATTTTAAATTGTTCCTTTCGGGCGGGTCTTACACTATAAACTGCCTACACAGTTTATGCAATCTCTTCCAAATAAAGCGGATAGAAAACCAGCAAGCTTGAGAGGTTGAAGATTTTGAAACAAAAAACCATATCGGGTTAAACTTGCTAGTTTTCTACTGTTTGCTTTTATTCTGAGGCGGAGTAGTTCGCTACTTCTGCAGTTATTTTAATTATGGATTCAGATCTGAGGATGGTCGTTTTTGTATAGCCAGATCAACCCGGGGTAACTCGGGTAAGAACCATCACGCCAAATACAAAAAAAAACTCAAAATATACTCCATGGTACTAAAAACAAGTTATCTCAAAAAAGGTTAGACATGGGATCCCTCCTACTACCTAGAAGTGGAATGTTTTGGTAAAAGGAAGTGGAATGTAGTAAAGTGGTGAGGGGTAATTTATGAGGCGGTTGTTGGCTCCGCGTTTCCATCGTTGTATGGCGGGAGTAGAACCAACTTCACCAGTGGTCTTGTGACTTGACCTTTCTCCGTCGAGATGTCCACTACTCGTACTCTGCTGTCGGCACCAGGGTGTATGTTGACAACTCGTCCTAACCTCCACTCAGTGGGGGTTAAGTTGTCTTCCTTGATGACGACCAGATCACCACGTTTGATATTTTCTTTGGGATGCTTCCACTTAATGCGTTTTTGAAGTTCGGTTAGGTACTCTGTTTTCCATCGCCAACAGAAAGTTTGATTAAGTGCTTTGAGTTTTTGCCACCGATTCACTATGGAGGCAGGAGTTTCATTAACGTCTAATTCTGGTGGGGCTAGAAGATGTCCACCGATGAGAAAATGGCCTGGAGTAAGCGGCTCCAGGTCAGTAGGGTTATTTGAAGAGGGACTCAGTGGCCGTGAATTGAAGCATGACTCAATACGGCATAAAAGAGTACTAAGCTCTTCAAAGGTGTATTTGTGGGAGGACGCAATTTTTCTAAAGTGGCTTTTGAAGCTCTTTACGCCCGCTTCCCACAGTCCTCCCATGTGAGGCGCTGCAGCGGGTATAAAATGCCACGTCAGCATTTGATGATTGTATTTCGAGATAGTTTTTTCTCGGGTTTCAGACAGAAAAGCTTTAAATTCAGATCGTAAGGATCGTGAGGCTCCGACAAAGTTAGTGCCGTTGTCGGAGTAAATATTTCTCGGACATCCTCTTCTAGCCACGAACCGTGCGAACGCCGCTAGAAAAGATGGGGTACTAAGATCACTAGTAGCTTCTAAGTGAATCGCTTTTGTCGTGAAACAAACAAATAAACAGACATACCCTTTAGAAACTCGACAACCTCTGCCGCGGTAACTTTTAACATCAAAAGGTCCAGTAAAGTCTACCCCCGTATTGGTGAAAGCGCGAGTAAATGTAGTGCGTTCCGGAGGAAGAGTTCCCATAAGTTGAGTTTGTGACCGTTTTTTAAACATAATGCATGTGAATAAACGATACAATAAGGCGGGACAACCTGCTGTTATACGGGATAATGCTCGGGTGGCGTTCATTGTATGCTAAGTCCTGGGATGCTCCAAGGCGACCTCCGGCTCTGATGATGTCATGTTTATCGATGAACGGATTAAGCGGAAGGATTTCACTCTTCGCATCGATTGGTTTTTTAGACTTCAAGTTTGCGTATTCTTCACCATAATAATGCTTCTGGTAGATTTTTATCAGGATTTCTGCCGTTGTTTTAATTTCATTAGATGAAATTAAACAAGAATTTTCCTGAAATGAAGCGTTTGTTTTGGAATGAGTTCTTCGATAGAATCTCATAACATATGATAAAACTCTCAAAGCTCTCGGTAGATCGGAAAAACGGTCAAGAATATCGATATCATTTGCTCTTGTTGTCGCATAAGTGTGTGCTTTTTTTTCTTCAACTTCTGTATGATAGTCTGTTCCTTGAGCGGGCCACTTGGAGTTGTCTTCTTGCAGCCAAGAAGGTCCCTGCCACCACAAAGAATTGTTGACCAATTCTGACGCAGGTAGTCCTCTGCTAGCCAAATCGGCTGGATTTGAGGCCGAGTCTACGTGTAGCCAGTCCTTCTCCCCTACTTTTTCTACGATTTTCGTAATTCGGTGGGCGACGAAGGTTGACCAAGAACAAGGCGGCTTTCGTATCCATGCGAGTACGATGGTCGAGTCCGTCCATAGATGTGTCTTCACTGGTCCTAGGTTGAGGTTGTTGATTATAGATTCTATGATTTCTGCGAGCAGTACTGCTCCGCAAAGCTCCAGTCGTGGTAGCGATATAGTTTTGACGGGGGCTACTCTGGTTTTTGCCAAAAGTAGATTGACCAAAATTTTGTCATCTCTTTTGACACGCATATATGCCGTAGCCGCATATGCTTTTTCTGATGCGTCGCAGAAACCATGTATCTCTATGGTGTCTCCAGGTGAGAAGTATACCCATCGAGATATTCTGATATTATCTATTTCGTGGTAATGTCTCGTAAAATGCTGCCAACGTTCTAAAATAGTATCAGACACAGTCTCATCCCAGTCTGTGCCTTCTAGCCAAATACTTTGCATGAGTATTTTGGCTACGATGACTATTGGTGCGAGCCATCCCAGTGGATCGAAAAGCTTGGCAATCGCTGACAGCATCGCCCTTTTCGTAATAGTGTCGTGCTCCTCCAATGGTCTGACCATAAAATAAAACAAATCCGTATGAGCATTCCACCTTATGCCCAGAGCCTTAACCGTGCTGGTGTCTTCGAATGCTAAGAAATCTTCGCTCAGAAGGTCCGTTTTTGGGATGCCCTTAAGAATTTCCTGACAATTTGAGGTCCATTTCCGTAGTGGAAAACCAGCTGATCGTAACACTTCTGAGATTTCATCTCTTGCTTTAATGGTCGAGTCGACGCTATGTCCTCCAGCTAACACGTCATCCACATACATGCACTTTCGTAGTATGTTAGATGCTATTGGGAAAGAATTCTCTACATCGTCGGCTAATTGCAGAAGTGTCCTTATCGCGAGGTAAGGTGCGCTATTAATCCCGAAAGTGACAGTCTTTAATTCATATAGACTTACAGGTTCGTTCGGGTTTGTACGATAAACTATTCGCTGGTATTTGGTATGGTTGTTATTCACCCAAATTTGGCGGTACATCTTCTCAATGTCGCTATTAAAAACGTACCGATATAATCTCCAGCGGAGTATTAATATTGGAAGATCTGCTTGGAGTACTGGACCTGGGTAAAGTACGTCATTTAAACTTGTACCATTAGCCGTCTGGCTTGAGGCATTAAAGACGACCCGAACTTTTGTAGAGGTGCTTTCCGCCTTTATCACAGCGTGATGGGGTAGAAAGTAATTATCGGAAGAGTCTGCTGAAATGCTACCATTTATCCTGGACATGTGTCCCAGTGATTCATATTCTGTTCGTACCCTATCATACTCCTTTTGCAGGACGGGATCCTTGGTAAGCCGTGTCTCATTCCGGAAGAACTGAGAGCATGCTCTTTTAAGAGAGGGGCCTAGGCAAATGTTTGCTGGAAATTCCTGCCTAAATGGTAGCGAGACTACATATTTTCCATCTGGGTTTCTCTCAGTCGTTTTCCGATAAAGCTCTTCACAATACTTGTCGTCTTCGTTTAAATTTTTGTTTTTCGGTATATCTTCTAGTTCCCAGAAAGCTGTTAGTTGTTGATCCAAGGCAACTTCGCTATGATAAGAAACTATGTTGTTTGTTGGATTTGGTGCTTCTGTGCGACCGGTTAAAATCCAACCGAACACGGTTTCTTGGGCAAGAAGTGTACTGAGAACATTTTTCTTCAAGCCGCACAAAATAATTTGGGGATAAATGTCTCCGCCAAGTACTAGGTCTACTTCTTCGTTAACGTAGAACCTTTTATCTGCTAAAATCAGATCTGGAAATGCCTGCATAGTCATAGCGCTGATATGGCAGGATGGAAGATTTCCAGTTAATTTTGTCAGCACGAGCACTGTTGCATGTAGACTAAACAGTGGGTCAACAGAGGACCGTAGTTCTATGTTGCATGCCTCCTTGACCTGAGCAGAGGTTGAATTCGTTATGCCTGAAACTTTGGCATACATCTTCTTAGATGGCAGGTTGATTCTGCGTTTGAGTCGTTCTGTTATAAAGGAACACTCCGAACCAGAATCAATGAGTGCTCGTGCTGAAAAATCTGTACCATTGAGACGTATATTTACACGAGCCGTTCCTAAAAGTACACCTGAGTTCATATTTGCATAATTAGACTTAACGTTTTTGCTTTTACCGGAGTTAGTTTTATTGAAGTTACGCCTTGCTGCAGCTTGTTGCGAGGTTGAGGCAACATCTTTGGCAGAGCTCGGTGGCGTTTGAGGCGGTGTTGCCTTTGGCGGAATTGTCTGGGTGTGCAGGAGCGTATGATGTCGCGAGTGACACGTGCTGCAATTGAAAGGGCTTGTGCATCTTGACACAGTATGTCCAGAACTCAGACAATTCAGGCAAGCATTGTTGCTCTTTAAAAACTCTATCCTTTCAGTTGGCGTTAGCTTTAGGAAATGGGAACAGCGGCGTAATTTGTGCTCATTTGTTTGGCACATTTTACATGTGTACTTGGTTACGCTTGTTTGGAACGCGCCAAGTCTTTTTGTGGGGGCTTCTGAGGGATGTCTGGTGTTTTGCGGCTTTGACGCTTTTACAGACTTTGTGCCCTTTATGCCTGACATGGTTTCCAAGGTTTGAAACCTATTCGATAGGAACTTGTCCATGTCCTCCCACTTTGGTAAATCTTTCTTGTGATCTATGGTTTGTTCCCATAGAGCCAGCGTACAGTCGGGAAGTTTAGTTGAGCATAGATATACAATAATTGCATCCCAATTCGAGATGTCAATATTATGGCTCTTGAGCGCTGATAAACAATTATTTATATCGCGCTGCAACTTCTTCAGTGAGCTACCACACTCATTATCTATGGAAATTAGGTTGAAAAGAATTTTTAGTTGCGTATTTATGAGGATACGCTTATTTTCATATCTCTCACACAGGTTATTCCAGGCCGTTTGAAAACCTTCATTGGTGAGTGGACATTTTCTTACTATGTCTTTGGCTTCCCCTTGAGTCTTCTGATTCAGGTGAAATAGTTTCTCCACAGGGGTGAGCCGCTTGTTTAGGATGTATATGGCTGTGAACATGTCACGGAACGATGGCCATGACAGATAGTCGCCCTTGAACACATCTGTGTCACACGGAGGAAGGTGAATATTGTGTTCACGAACCGACTGATCTTGTACATCCTTCTCTGCATTTACAAGCGTCTCAGCCTGACTAGCCATTACCGACATGCATTTGACATAGCTGGAAAACGAGCCCTTATGTTTCCGTCTAATTGCTTTAATGTCATCTTTAGAAATTCCTTCTTTATTTATGATCGCGTCATAAGCTACTTTGGTCTTTTCCCACAAAGCCTTTAGTTCGTCTTGCTGTATTGCAAGGCCGTGTTTGTTTTGCTCTGTGGCTGGTGTGCTATTGTAATCTGATTCAAATTCGATTACAGATTCTGCCAAACGAATAAAGGTTTCCATTGCGGTAATTGATCTTCAGATTACTCTTTACGAATTAAAATTTGTTGTAGTTTTCGAAAGTATGTTCACTATAAATAGGAATAGACCGTGTATATTCCAAAC